ACATGAGTTTCAGTCTCACGCTTTTTCGTCAAGAAATCATTTGATGTGGGTTTGTTATAAACTGGATAAACTTGCTTGATGCTGTTACTCCTTTAACATAAATAATCACTATACAAACATGAATAACCAAGAACGTGAAACTAGGCAAGCCAATCAGTTAAAATGCTTAACATCCAAATAGCATAATCAACAATCACATGATATTCTGATGTCTAGACAGGCAACCGGAAACCATCTCTTTGGCAGGAGAGGAAGTCGAGTGCAAGCCATAAAACTGACAAAGAGTTGTGATGGGATAATCTGAAAGATTGACAGCCAAACAATCACTAGTCCGGACAATGATCTCTAGGATTTAAAAACAATTTTGTAAAGAGGTCCTTGAGAACGAGACCATGAAAAGAACTCCTCCATTCAGTTTAATAAAATGCACACTCAAAATAGCCTCAACATTCAAATCAGAGAACCTCTTCAAGGACCATGACAAAGTGTGTATGCAACACTTACAGGAGGAATGACCCACTAAAACTACAATCTTAAATGCTCAGCTGAATCATTCTCATTTTAACTGTACTAAAATACAGTTCCTTATTCCTTAAAAAGAGTAGATTATAAATTGCGATAACATTTCTCATAAACAAATTTACTGACTAATACAACAAATGCTTGCTCTCCATGACTTTCATACAATAAGGCCCTCTGAGACGTAAAGTCTTCCCTGTAGTTCAGAATCAGTTGTAGCAACACATTTCATCTACATCAGACATCTACATCAGCTAGACATGCAGTGGTCGAAGTGTTGATTAAACAGTGCAAAAGCATCGTACACCCCGTTCTTCTGACCTACTTTTACGAGTACATAAAGACTGTGAACTTTGATTAAAACATTTTATGTATTCAGGTCAAGACATGTAGGCATCTACACAATTTAAAAGATGAATTACTTTTTGAAAGTAAGGACTAAACTAACATTTAAATGTTTACACAAAGTTAAAGTTAAAAGTTAAAACAAAGTTACACAATATGCATTAGTTATTCAAGGGATCAATATACCATGTATAATGAACAGCAAGGTCAATATTTAATAAAAAAAATATATAGTAAAAGTGCTGTCAAATCGATTAATTGCGATTAATCACATCTAGCCTAGGCCTATTTAAAAGTTGTTGTTTACATAATATGAGTGTATAGCCTATATATATATTTTTTTCTTTTCTTTTTTTCTTGCAGGAATAACATACATATGCTTCTGAATCCTAAATGTTTCCAAATTCTTTGGTCAAAAACACTCAGTCAGTGTCTGTGTGTTAGTGAATCATGTCTGAATATAACAAAGGGGGGGGGGGGGGGGGGGGGTCTCCAGTCAACTCGACAATACATAGATACATATATATATTTTTTATTAATTATGGTGTTCATCATGCATCATCTCGTGCACGATATACGGTTCATCTCGTATACCGAATGCATATTGTGTAACTTTGTTTTAAAAGGGTCATCGGATGCCCATTTTCCACAAGTTGGTATGATTCTTTAGGGTGTTCATGTAAAGTTTGTAATAGGCTATACTTTGATAAAAATTTCTCAATGGTTGTGTAAAACAACACCCTTTTTACCTCCTCAAAAACAGCTTTCTTCACAGTGACCTGTTTCAGTGCATGTCTCTTTAAATGATAAGCAACTGGGGGGTGTCAATTAGCTGAGGGCAGAAATATGCTAATACGGGACAGTCCGTCAGTGGCCGTGGGCGGAGCATGAGCATTTGACATCATAGTGCTCAGAAAATCCAAACTGCTTGATTATTGAGAGTGTTTAGACTTTTTGAGGATTAAAAAAAGGAGTAAATGGATTTTTTTTCATTGTATGGTGGTTGTGTCCACACACTGCAAAGACACATTTATATGCAAACACCATAAAGTGAATTTTGCACACGATGACCCCTTTAACATTTAACTTTTTTTAACTTTAACTATATATTATATTATATTAAATATAATAAATAATGTATTAAATATATAAAGAATATTATAATTGTAGAACTCTGAAGAATCCAGCTCACTCTATGTGCATTTTTCTATTGCATTTTTTTTTTTTTTTTTATTCTCTTTTTAAATATGAAAATGTATTGTCAGTCATTGAGGTATACCCCACATTAAATCATTAAAGGGGTCATATAATGCCATTTTTGTATAAGCTAATATGATTCTTTAGGATCTAAATTAAAAGTTTGTAATATATTTTAATTAAAAATTCTCATTAGTATTGTAAGAAAACACTTATTTTACCTGGTCAAAAACAGCTCTGTTTTCAGCACGCCGTTTCAGTGGATATGACTTTAAATGATAATGAGCTTTGCTCACCCCGCCCCTCTGTTCTGTGTACACCGTTTGTAACACAATAACCATAACGCGTTGTTCATTATAAACGTGGGATTATGAATTATATTGAGAACGTCGTAGAAAACATGCCGTAATGTACCCTGAGTGTAAACCTTAGCCGCATTCATCGTGAACCGTGCAGCTAGCGATTTGCAAAGATTAATATAAATATTAATATAAAGGTTAATAAAACGTTACACTCACTTCAGTTGTTCTAGAGGTTCAGCAGGAACACAAATAGTTGGTACCAATCCTTTTTTCAGGAGCAGCTTCTTAGCAAAACCAGCTTTATACTGACCCTCGTTTATAAAGCAGTCTGGTGTGTGAAATGATTCGCGCAAACATGAAAGCATTGACGTTGATCGTGGGGAATATTCCCTTCGAAAACAAACTCAGCCACTGCGTCTTAAGCGGTTCGGATTTAGGAACATTAAAATGACTGTGTTCGTTATTTCACCCAAGAATAGAATAGAACACCACTTCGCTTAGACGCCATTCTGCTCATAGACAGTGCTCCAGCATCAACAATGACCGCGCCGGTCCACGCTGAGTATGATTGACAGCTCGCTCACGAGCGAGGGCGGGTCTGTGTTGAAACGCTGCTGTCAATCAACAATCGTGGGAGGGGCGTCCGTTTTATTGACGTCACAAAAACGAATGGCTCAATTTGAGGCAGGGGAAAACATTTAAGGAGATTAAAAGAAAAACACTGGATGGATTTTTATCATTATATGATGTTTGTGTACAGGCACTGCCAACACACATTGATTTCAGTACAGTAAACTTGAAAAAGTGCATGTACCATTATATGACCCCTTTAAGAGATGAAGGTATTGATGTTATGCTGTCTTGTTCCTCCATGAATAATTCCCACAGACAATTTGCCAGGGCAAGTGCATTTATTTGTGAGCCAAGTTATAATTTATTTGAAAAAACACCTATCAGTGAAATGACTGGAATCTATAACTCAAAAGGCCAGTTACCTAAGAGACAAACTTTCCAGATAAGACCCTACATTCCAGTCACGTTTCTCAGGGTTGGGGAAGGGAGGGGGGTGTCTGTCACGAGACCAGACAAACCAAACTGGCAGCAGATTTAGGTTACACGTTTAGCAGGAATTATTAGCACAATTGTCCTATTACATTAAACAGCTTTGTTTCGGATGGTTTATAGGCTAGATATGCAAAGGCTCACTGATTGAGTTAGGCTGAAAAGAGAAAGCAACGCCTGAAGGAGGGCATCACAGCCCAAGTCTGCACGTGCGCTGTGTAAGTGTTTGACCTACATATTACACAACCGTCACGTTACAAGGTCACGTTACAAGAAATCAGACTACATCAGGCAGCACTATGACCTCACAATGCTAATGATTCACATTTACGTCACAACAACATGCAGTTTCACTCATTAAAGAGGACACTGAATTCACTAGGGGAAAGGCATCTGTGCTAAACAGTGATTTTGTGATCTTTAAAACTCATTTCACTATCAAAACAGTGAGAAGAAAGTGGTTTGTCATTCCTTTGGTCTCATGTCAATGAAACAGCATTGCAAGTGATGGTGAACATATAATGATAATGAACATGATAGGCCTATATTCTATTTGTAAGCTATAGGCTATGGTTGAGAAGCGAGAACATGTCGATCTTAAAATAAACCAAAAAATGTTGTAGGCTACTTTCTGATTGGCTATGACAACAATTAGAGATACACATGGGGCTTGTGTAAATCATTTGTAGCCTATTTTCTAAAAATAAATGAAGGAATCAGTCAATGTCATCAAATTTTCTGTTTGTTTACCATGTACTGTTTTTCATTTACGGCCAAAACGCATTTATATCTCTTAATAGTCAGGATTTTTTATTTAATTTCTGATTACTTTGTATCTTTTGTGTTGAACAATTGAGTGCTGAGTTCAAAACATTAGCCTACTTATTTCTACAAATATTCTTCCTCAAAAGTAGCTACTATAAAAGAATAGCTATATTTGGTAGGGAACAGGAATAATTAAACATGTATCAGAATGGCAAACAGAACAGCTACATTATTTAAGATTTCCAACCCGCAAATGTAAACAGTAAATCGGGTCCGATTCTTTTATTTCGATCCTCGGAGTAGGTTTAGGAAAATATAGCCTATAAAGAATAGTTGGCCATATAAAAGAAACAAAGTTCCCAAAACAAGAAAAAGTCACCAGTAGCATGTAAATAAATGTATTAAGACGTTTAAAGAATTAGCAACAACAAACTGAACAGACTGAAGGCGACGGCAGCCAATCAGCCAAGGCCGCGCAAAATATACATAAAAAACATATGCTACATTTAAAATACGTGCCTGTCAGTCACATTAAACCCCGAATATAGGATTAAACGCGGCGTTAAAGATCCAAATGTGCCTCTGAGATCAGTTCCTACGCATCCCTGCTTGTGTTTGCTAGAGTTTGCTCTACTGAACTACTGACCTAGTTTCGCTGCGAACGCGAGTGTGCAAACCAATCAGCGGGGAACACCGAGATCTCCCCTCTCCTCCGCCCGGCCGGCACACAGCGCAATTACACCGACTCTCTCCGCTTCATGCGGACCAATCTAGGGTGGACTAACTCATATTGTTTCAGGCGGCGTTACCTGTCTTTTCCCCCGTCGCTCCGTCACCGCCGCCAGTCGCTGTATTCCTCGCCGACATGGCTGGAGCCGGTACGCCGCGGCCCAGGACTCCGATGCTGCATGTGGAGAACCGAAGGCGGTGGTTGTTATTTGCAAAGGGGAAGAGAGAAAAAGGAGAGGGGACGGCGGAGGTGGGGGGGGGGGGACGGCGAGGCCTGTATATTGATTCAATTATTTTTCTTTTCAACTATCTGAATTGGGAGGGTGGGCTGAACGTAAAAACGTGCAAGGAGAGGACACGATGTAATCAGGACAGTGGTTGAAATCCCGGGAAACGCGGAAGACGACGGCGCACAATCTCCTCCTACCATCATCAGCACCGCCTTCTCGTGCTGTCCTTTCCCTCACGTTACTAACCTAGTAAATCACGCGATATGTTATGCAAGCCGAGAAAAATGCGGTCAGGATCATAGTCAGGATGCGATGGTGGTATGCGGATCCTGAACTGAACGGATGCTGCAGGAGTGGACACTGTCATCTTTTCGATTGCAGCAATGGGATTCGACCATATTGCATTCAGTTTCTGCAATCTGCACCATCATATTTATATTTAGACCAGAACTGTTTGTTTTATTAAGGCATTACATGAATGTACGTAACGTCTGTTGTTTTGATTATTTGTTGGGGTAAGTAGCTAGCTATAAGTTTATCAGTAGCCTAGCCTTTAATTAAGAGTAAAGATAGGTATTACTGAAAATATTTGGTGATTGGGGTGAGGATTGGGGCTGATCCATTCATAAAGCAGCTGGTTATTGTTTTGTTTTTTTTCAGTTTTTTTTTTGTTGTTGTTTTTTTTCTGTTTCTTTTGATGTGCATAAATAGCGACAGGTATTACAAGATTTGTTATTCTTCCTTTTTATTCGTTCATGGAAACAAGAACAAAAATGTTGTAAAACGCAATGAACGAATGAATAAATAAAAAAATAAAATAAAAATAAAATACGATTAGTTAGGCTCCCTATTCGATTTGGTTAAGAGTGTCAACATATTTTAAAGCCTTTTATGTCATAAAAGTAGCGATTGTAAGAATTTCTTAAGTCTGTAAATATTGTCATGCCTATATGCTATTTGCAGCTATTTTAGAAATCTAATAGGCCTATTCTACTTCAAGTAGCCTACAAAGAGTTGCAAACCACATTGACATTTTAAAATTGAGCATGAATTCTACTGATTTGTTTTTATTCATTGTGGCAATCAAATTTACCTGTTCAATTTGAGTAGGCTAGTCGTCATTTGAGTAGGCTGGATGCCTACAAATGCTTTCACCAGGAAATGAAAAAAAAACGGTGAAAGCTAATAATTTAATTTTAATATCTTTGAAATAAAAAAAGTGAAATGGGATGTTTTTTTAACATGAAACGCCCCTTTAATGCTTTTTAAATTTCTATTTAAATTTCATGCATTTTTTAGAGGAACTATTGTATATTTGAAAATTGTGTGTGTGTGTGTGTGTGTGTGTGGTGGGGGGTCACGTGAAAAAATAAAGACTGTTCTTAATGCAGCATCTGTTCTTATTTCGATTCTAATAATTGTTATTTTGAAGATACTCAATTTAAATGTATCCTATGGAAGTGTCTTTGCATTTTTTTATTTTTTTAGTTCAATTACAGACGTACAATGCAAAAAGTAGTCTACTTAAGGCTAATATAAGTTGGCTAATTGTAGGCTACAGTTCAGAGTATGTGAAACATCTAAAACCTAAAATTAACATATCAAAAAAGAGACAAATATATTGGGATAATAAGTGCCCTATTCCTATAATATTAGGGAAGTAACATTAATTTGAAAAGCTTTAACATTTTTATTGTTTTTATAAGCTTTTTGTTTTTGTGATCTCACTTTTGTAAAGGTTTCAAAGTATATTGTGAGATCAGCATTACAAAGGGTAATATAGGCTATGAGGGTTTATTTTGTGTTATTTTTGTCTTAGGATTATGAAACTGCCAAAACCGTACTACCCTTCCTCCCTGTTTCATATAGCCTACACGGTTGAGTAGGCATAACCACCCTGAAAGGAAACATAAACACTAGCGCCAACTAGTGGACAAGAGTTGCACATCTTAATCATTTTTATTTTACTCTATTGGTCCTCTGATGATCTCATAGATGTAGCTGCAACAAAAACTGACACTGCTGTTTTATAGCCACAAACAACACAAATACCCACTAGTAATTAAATAATTATTTACAAGCCTAGAAAAGTAAAGAATTTCTGTAGTTTAGTGATTTTTGCTCAGCTCTGTATGTTTCACCTGCAGGTAATTTTATACGTTTTACTTATTTCTCTATAAATATGTTTTTAAAAGCCCTTATAATTATGACGAAGAGCTTGGAGAATCATGCATAAGTTCTGTAAAATTAGTCACAGGAAAAGCATATGCTACATAAAGATAGTATGAGATATTTGTGATGTTTGCATATAGTTCAAAATTATTATTATTATTTGCGTCTAATGCTTTAAACTGGTAATATTTTCTTTTTAAAACGCTGATAGTCTCCAGCACAGAAAAGCTCAAATAATTGAACACTTATAGGGATAGTTCACCCTAAAAATGAAAATTGTGTCATCATTAACTCACCCTCAAGTTTTTCCAAACCTGAGTTAGTTTATTTTTTCTGCTGAACACAAAAGAATATATTTTAAAGAATATGGGTAACCAAACAGTTAATGGTTAAACATTGACTTCCATAGTATGGGGGGGGGGAATACTATGGAAGTCAATGGGGCCCATCAACAGTTTGAACTCCTGTGAACCACTAGATGTCACTCTGTTATTTAAAAACAGAAAGTACCATCGACAAGAGTATCACTATATGCAAATATTAATATATACATACTAAATAATAAATAACTTTTAGTAAAAATATATGGGTCAGTGACATTGAACCTTTTTGCCATGTTATTCAAAAAAACATAAAAATTCAACAGATTAAAAAAATTGGTAACATTTTACAATTAGGTCCCATTAGTTAATGTATTAACTAACATGAACTAACAATGAACAAAACATTTGTTACGGTATTTATTAATCTTTGTTAATGTTAGTTAATAAAAATACAGCTGTTTGTTGTTCATGTTGGTTCACAGTGCATTAACTAATGTTAACAAATACAACTTTTGATTTTAATAATGTATTGGTAAATGTTAAAAATTAATATTAATTTATAATAATAAACACTTTAGAAGTATTGCTCAGAAAAAGAAATGTCGCCATAAGACAGAACCTTTTATCATTATTTATTTAGGGGGAAAACATTGGAGCAATATTATTAAAATTCAAAATTCTTTTGCCTGCTAAATCATAGTCAGTATTGCGCAACCAACAGGTAGGAACCTTGTTGTTATGTGACCCAAAAAAAAGACCTTCATGACAGTGTATTCAGGTCAGTACGGTAAAAAAAAACTGATTTTGAATTGATGGTTTGTTAAAAAATAAGCACGTGCAGTATAAGTGGCAGGTTTTTTCTACTTTATAGATTTATATCTGCACTGTATATTAAAATTGCAGATGTTAAACCAACACCGTGGACAGTGCATTCCTCCAGAGTCCAGACCAACACTTTAACATTGATGATTTTTATTCACAGTGTAAAGAATCTTCATTTGCAATTTTTGAACTCCTGTTCATTTTGATTGTATATGAAAATAGTAGCCTATCCCGGTTTCTGCAGTTATTCATGACTTGTTGCACTGAATGGCAGATCTTCAGTGAGACAGATTTTATTTATGGCATACAAGCATCGGTGAAACAGAGCCTGGGAGTCTAGAGCAACACCATGCAGACTACCAATGAATTTTTTAGACCCCAATATCTGAATTTTTAAAGCACACTGCATTTTTGATGATTATTGCATAAAAGAGGCTTTCACAGGAAAAAGGTGCAGTGTTTCACTCACAAAAGCAATAGAATTGTGAATGTGAGATTTGAACATCAGCTACAGTGCAATGGCACTCACAGTTTGAACCTTTATGTCAGTGTTTGGTTGTTGACGTTGATACGTTTGACCCACGAACCCCTGGAACGGTTTCTCGGGATAAGGGTTAGACTGGGACTGTAGGACGCAGTGTCTTGTTACACCCGCTCATATCATACAACCTCGAGCCTGCGATCCTTGACTTCGCTATCAATAATTGATGAATTCTGCTAGTCACTCTTTTTGGCCTGCTGTTGTATAGCCAAGAAGACCAAAAGGGGAGGGGTTGGAGAAGAGGCAGGTGTTCGGCATCTTCTGTCACTGTCTGTGAGGGGACCGAGGAGAACGTTGGAGTTTCCATTATTGATGTATGTCAGCATAACTTTCACAATGCTGATACACTGAACCGAAGACACCTGGATTCGTCCCGTTTCTCTCCTTGTGCCTTGTTTCTGGATGTTCTGTGGCCAAACCGCATGAATGATTGTACCCAGACCGTCAAAAAGCAAAGTCCCTCCTCTTCTTTCTCTCTGTGTGTCTTCTTGTCGTCCCTGGCTCGGCATCTCTCCTCCTCCCCTACAGCACACCTAGAGCACCTTAGTCCAGCTCAGGAGAGGATGCGCACCAGAGCCTAGTGGATATCCTGCTCGTTTTTTTCTGCAAGAGCAGAAGAGTGAGAAGACAAGTGTTTGAGGGACAGAAGCGCAAGGGAAGGAGAGATGCCACTGGGGGGGTTTGCGGGTCTAAAGGAGAAGCTCAACCCGGGGAAGGAGGAGTTGAAGAACAATGTGGGCGACTCTCTGGGGAACCTGCAGAAGTAAGTGTGATGGCAGTTGAATTGGAAACTAAGCGCTGAAAGGAAGATGTGAGAAGATTGCTTGTGCACATATACTGTATCATGCTTTTGGTATATTGAATGAAATTGGAAGGGATATAGAATTTAGAAATCAATTCAAAATTTATCGAGCAGCTGTTTTTGAGAAAAAATAGCCTCATAATAATGATTCTATATATATAAAATGGTAAAATAAATGAAGTACAGGATGTTCATAGATATGATGTTTATAATAGTTATTTGGATTTTGGTATAATTTAGCAAAATATATTATTTTCAATATGCCATTATGTTTTTTTTTTAAAACAATTCCAAATGGTTTCTCAAAGAAAGTAAGAAATAAGAAAACCTTACGTTATAAATGTAAGATTCAAGCTTTTAAATATCTCTTCATCATCATGCACAAACCTAATAAATTCCCTTTGAGCCTTGGCCAGTAATTCAAAAACATTATATTGTATCCATACATATTTAATATCTAGTTCATCTGAAGAGATAACAAAACTGAAGATTCCATGTAAGAGCGAGATGTATGTCTCTTAAATTGCATGCACATTAGACAGCTTAATATGTGAGATAATGTCAACAATTTCCTGTGTAATATTGCCAGGGCATCTTGTGATTGGGAAAACTTAATATATGGGTACACTAAATAATTTAACAAGTCATGCAATATTTGTTTTCATTCCTACTTAAAACTTGCTTAATTCTTCCATGTTTAAACTGCAGGACATTTAGATTTGTGTATTAACTAGCAAATGCACCATATTTTAATGAATAAGTCAAAGTAGAGTTGTGTAACAGTTGCTCTATAGCACTGCCATTTCCAAAAACAATATATTATATATTAATATAATTCATTACATTTATTAATATAATTAATCATAATTATGTCCATGATAGAAAATAAGTGTAGTGACAGTTTACCATAGGTATTATTTGAGAGAATGCAATGCTCAGAATGGTATCTGAACATGGCATCTTATTTTTAGTTTTGTGAAATGAGAATAATGTATTATCTTGGCTGAATCTTTCTAATATATAAGCCGCTATTGTCTGTTGATGGCAATCCTTGCACATTGAGCAGTTCTAGCCTACAACATGACGTTATGATTTAAGAGATGATAATGTAGGTTACAGTTTTTTTTTAACTCTCCACATCTGTGTTATTGATTATATTTCACTTTAATGGTTTTTTTTTATCTTATGGCAATTCTAAAGAAATTCTAAAATTCTATACTCATTCATACGAAAATCAAAATGATAAATAGGGTCTGGAGAGTTTTCATTTAAAACTAAAAAACAGAGACGAAAAATAAAGGTTTTCTGATCTGAATAAGTGTGTGCATTGTTCACAATAGAAAAAAAAACAATTGTGTGAGGTCCGTTTCGAGAGTGCACCAGACCAGGACTTGATCTTAAAGTGGCTTTTGTGCAATAACAGCGTTAACAAACATACGGCTCTTAAAATGATGCCTCTTGATCCTCCATTCACAATCTGCCAGTATCCAGCTTTTAGTGAGCTCCTTCCTCTGTATATGGAAGAACTCAGGTGTGCATTTCAAAATAGACAGATGAAAGTAATTCCTGTGAGGTGGAGGATGAGAGGAAAGATGCAGGTTCAGTAATGGAACAGGTGCGTGCAGGCGAGAGGGGGGAGCACCAAACGCAATGTGACCTTTTCTACTCCACACTCTGGAAACCAAAATTTACTCTGTCCATCCAGTACATCATGGGTAAAGCTAAAGATAAATTTGCAATCCAAAAAGCAGTCCAGTTCAAAATGTTGCCAAGGCATCTAGCACACTATCACTACATCATCATGCACAAACCTAATACATTCACTTTAAAACTTGGCCAGAAATTCTAAAATCTTATACAGCTTTCTTGGTGTCCATACATACTGTATCTGATATCTAGTATATATTTCTTGAACATTAATATAAAGTTCTGTCATGAAACTCTAGATGGCGAAAGCTGATAGTTCCGTAACTCATTCTGCTTGCAATCACATCATTCTCTATAGGGCACAGCTGATTGGTTCCTGCTGTATCAGTAGCCAATGAGCTCGCTGCTCAACCTTCAAATACTTGGTCAGCATTTGGTGTAGCAGTTGCAGTACACTTTCATAAACCCTCCACCTTCCCCATGTCCACCCGTATAGATCTGCTATGGGTAATTCATGTATACTATTGTACAGCAGCAGCATGTCTTACTTGCTCACAGCTGGGTGTCATGTGTGTATTGGCAGTAGCAAGTCCTGTACTTGCTCTATGGTGGCAGCAATAACCTGCAGCAGCAACAGTGACCAAAAATATCAGCATTGTCATACATGCCAAACTCTCGGAGAGTTGTCATGACAGAACTCAATTGTCTGTAAACTCAACTTAATTTGTGAGATTTTTTAACCATTTATTATCCCATGGTAGGAAGATCGATGGCACTAATGTGGATGAAGAGGACAACATTGAGCTGACAGAAGATGGCCGGCCAGTGGCAGCCCCTAATCGTAGCCCACCCCTTTTGGATTGTGGCTGCTTTGGCCTTCCCAAGCGTTACATCATCGCCATGCTCAGCGGACTTGGCTTTTGCATCTCGTTTGGCATCCGCTGCAACCTCGGTGTGGCCATTGTAGAAATGGTTAACAACAACACTGTCTACATCAACGGGACTCCCGTCATGCAGGTGAAAAAAAAAATTGCTCCAAAAATTGACAGCTCCAATTTTTAACAGTTTGTGAAAGAAAATTATATACAGTGTAACTATTTTCTAGTCAGATGTGTTTGTGTGTATGTATATATATTATAAAAATTTATATCCTATATAAATACACTATATAAATGAAAAAATATATTTTCCAATATCACACACACACATATATATATACTGTATGATTGGAAAATAATTGCTTAATTTGATCACGATAAATATTTTTCTCTCACAGTCAATTGGTCTTAATACATGAAATATACAGCTTTAATTTTTTTTTACAGAGTGAGTCCCTATAATCAGGTCCTTGGCACGAAAAGTTTAGACAGTTAAGACAATACATTTTACTTCTTTAGCTATCAAGTTCAAAGGACAGATAATTTATTCTCATCAATGATTTGTTTGGTAGTTAGCAGACACAATTTCCTGTAATTTCCTGTCATAAGAGATATTGGGAAGAAGACATGACTCACACACACATATTCACAAGTTCATTTTACTATGTATGTCTTGTGATAAATCAACCTGAATTTTCCCTATACACAAAAATGTGCAACAAGTTTGTATTTTTTATTATTCTTCTTTTTTTAAAATATATTTTCAAGCTAATATGGTCTTCTCTGATGTTTGCGTCCTTTAGCCAGCTCAGTTTAATTGGGATCCAGAGACAGTGGGGTTGATACATGGCTCTTTTTTCTGGGGCTACATTGTCACTCAAATCCCTGGAGGATTCATCTCCAATAAGCTAGCAGCTAACAGGTGAGCCTCATCTTGATGCACGGGCCTCCACGCCACGTTTGGAAGGAAAACGCATGTTATAGTATAACTCTCATATTACATTCAATGTTCAGAGGTGTTTCAAGACCCAAGGGACCACAGTGGTCAGGGCTGCGAGGGTTAAATTTGTGCCGTGTGTTGATTAGAGGGGCGATAGCGGTCTTGTAATAAAAGCCTCACAGGAAAAAAGGACACGTGGCTGACAGAGTTAATAATGAAAGATCCAGCAGCAGATCTCTCGCTGAAACACCAGCCACTAGAATATTACAAGTGTCACTTACACAGTGTTTTGGAAAAAAAAAAGAGGCAGATGGATGGATTAAATGGAGATAAAGGATAAATGAATGAACCAAAATGACTCTCTTCGGTGATGTAGCTGCGTGAGAGTGTGCAGGGCCTCTAAAATCATTAAAATCACAAGCATCATGTCCATTTAAACTAATGGGATTTTGAGCAAAGTGGATTTTGAATACAAAAATAGGTCTGTGCTAATTAAATTGCATGAATATTCAAGGTAAAAAAAAAAATCTTAATTTGGTCAGTCCAATCAAGTTGCACTGTCCACAGGTAATTTGCATATGCATATATGATCAATCAGGATTTGAACCTGGGCATGCTAAATAAAAGCTGTACCACTAGACTAAATAGTTCAAATATGTTTACCTTTGGTCATGTCTTATTAAAATACAAAAAGTTCCTGAATAAAACAAAATATATTCAACTGTAACTCCAATATTGATTTAAAATGATGGTTGCACTGACGCGGAAGTTGTGATAGTCTTTTGTTCCCTATTGTGATGTATGTCCGAGTGAAACAGCTTCTTGAACAATATATATATATAGGCCTATATATATATATATATATGTATATATATATAGGGCGGAACTTGGTTTTGTCCGTCAGGAATTGATTGGATCATTGTAGGTTTTTGTTGCCAGATCATAGCTATGATCTCATTTGAGTGACAGGTTGTCCCGCCCTTGTGCCGGTAAACCCATCATCAGTGTAGAGATGTTGTTGCAAATGCAACATATTTTTATTAAAGATTATGAGGGCACATGAATTTTTTAAGAAAAAATAATGATGTGAATGGGTAAATCATAAATAATAAATACTGCAATATTGCATAAAAACGCAAGACTTTAAAGATTCTGTCACAAGGTTTAAGTTACAAAAATTACTCTAACTCACTAATGATTAATGTCTTTCAGAATTCCAGAACTGTTAGATTTATTAAATTCAGTTATTCAGATACCATTATGGAATTACCTATCCTGACTGTGCATGTTTTTCCACAACAATCCTATTTAATTCTACATTATTTATGGCTTTATTGATTTTACATTGCTTCATTTTAATTCAGTCCATACCTAACATTACCAAATGTCTCTGAATTGTTTCTCAGGGTGTTCGGAGCAGCCATTTTCTTGACGTCATTGCTAAACATGTTTATTCCGTCAGCTGCCAGGGCTCACTACGGCTGTGTCTTGTTTGTGCGAATCTTACAAGGTCTGGTGGAGGTGAGTGGCCATCAGTGACCTCATCTTCAAATATGGCACATCATAAAATATTAACTTAATAATTAATTTACATATAATGTAACTTTGTATATTACATACTCATTGTAAATGGTATGTTATTATTGATCAGTAAAAATGTAAATTCTGTCATTCTCAATTCATTTTTTTCTTTTCACACAAGATCAGAAGATAATATTTACAGAGTCTTTTTCCATATGCTTATTTTTTAAGCTCTACAAATAGCTTAAGGTACCATAAAAGTAGTCATGCACTATATTTTAAGTCATTTGAAGCCATACGATACAGTAGCTTTTGAGTGATGAAGGTTTATTATTCATGAAGTCATTATATGGGGGAACTTTCTTATTAATTTAAATGGTCTCTAGAATCAGCCATTTTGGTTAAAAAAAAACAATAATAAAGCACACTAACAGTGCATGATGTTAACAGGGTGTCACATATCCAGCCTGCCATGGGATGTGGAGCAAATGGGCTCCTCCGTTGGAGAGAAGTCGTCTGGCTACTACCTCGTTCTGTGGTAAGTTTGTGAAATAGGCCTTTTATTTATAGAAATGGTCAGGAGACATTTAATGTTTTTAGAAATGACAAGAAAACACTTAAACTATTTACTTGATCAATGTATTTATCATTACCAACAAAAAATGGTTTCAAACGAAGCCAAAGCAGAACAACCATTACGTCTCTGATCAACACAGTAGTGGTGTTTGTTAATTTCCTGAATGAACCGGTGTTTGAATCGTTGAGTGAATGATTCAATGGCTGCATCCGAAAACTTAAAAATGCTGCTTCTGGGGCTGCATGGTAGGAAGGCATCAAGGCACGTCTAATTCCAATGTTAGCTTCCCTTCCTGTCTCTTGAGATACGATTTTTGAAGGCAGCATAGATCCTTCACTTCCTTTTGATATCCCACAATCCTCTGCGGCTCTGTATGTTTTCGAATCGCTCTCGCGGTACTTTGATGTAATACTTCGAGCCGCTTAACCCCCCACTAAAACCAGTCTAAACTGTTTGGCTGGTCTTAGCTGGTTTAAGCTGGATGTAACTGGCATAAGCTGGCCTCCCAGTATGGCCAAACTAGTGTTCAGCTGGTTTTAGCTGGTTGGTCATCATGGTCTAGCCTGACCATTTAAAGTAGTGGCCAAAACCCCTCTAAAACCAGCCTGTTAAACCAGCTTTGACCAGGCTGGAAGAGCTTGGCTGGTTTTAGCTGCAGGGGTTTTTTTCCCCAAAAGGAATGTGTTTGTACCTGTTTCTGCATTAGAAGTAAACACTCAAGACTGCTCACAGTCCAGTTTGACCAGTATCAGAGCCAGCTGAGGGTCTATATTCCAATGCTCATTACTTCTTAAAATGCATTCAAACAGCCATCTTCCACAATAAACAGGTGCCATGACAACCTTTGCTTCAAACAGCTCTTGACATGACAACTAAATCAAGATGGTCTGTACACAGCTTCACCTTCTATATGTTTAAGAGGCTTTCTCCTGATGACACAAATGAAGCAGCGCCCTCTTCTATGTTCAAAAGCTCACTCGAGAATCCTCTCCTGCGCCAAACAGGAAGGTTTACAAATGCATCAGTAATAAAATATACATTAAGACACCTTTTCATTAAAATCCCATTTCCTGCAGCTGTCCTGTCCTTCAGGCAGAGGCACGTGTTGCACGGAGGTGTGAAGTTGTTGCACATGCAACTGAGTCGGCAAATGTCTTACTGCTAAGGACTTGACTGCTTTCGGACATTTATCGCTACAAAGTTTCCTCAAATATATGAGAATCTGAAGCTAAATGTAAATTTCTTACAGTAAAAATTAGGGATGAACGATATATCGGCCACCAAATCGGTATCGGCCGATATATGTTTGTTTTTAATGTAATTGTTACTGGCCAAAGAAAATCTGGCCGATATCTTAAAGACGATAAATAATAGATTATTTCCTTCAGCTAAGACACTTCAGATGTGCACTGTTTCCCATAATGGTTTTGAATGGCTTGAAATATGATTGAAACCACTTTAGAAAAGGAGAATACAGTTAAGTGCAACGTGCAGCGCAAATCTGTCATATAGGTTACATAAAATTATAATGAGAACATTATAATTGTGTGCTTGAAACATGGCTTTTAATGGTGAGACTTTTGTTTTTGTAATCAGGCTCTCAAATATTATATAATAATTTGGATTGAAATGTATCGGCCAATATATCAGTTTTCGGCTTTCAAATATAAACAATTATTGGTTATCGGTATTTTATTACCAAAATATTATCGGTGGATCTCTAGTAAAAATTTACAAAACCAAATCTGCTTTCTCAAAGCTGAACCACTCGGTTTTCCTCTGTCAAAAGGAAACCCCGCAATGGCTTCAAATGATTGAACTGTCATGCGAGGTGTATATTACAGGTTGATTAATGTCCTCCCTTTTAATTGAACTTTCTTAATTACACTGTGTGTGTGTGTGTGTGTGTGTGTTGACAGGATCTTATGCAGGAGCTGTGATAGCCATGCCACTGGCTGGAATATTAGTGCAGTATGTGGGCTGGCCCTCTGTCTTCTATATATATGGTGAGTTAGGATAAGCCTTTGAAATGTATTGGTAAAGAATGATATATACACCAAAAATAAGCGATTACTCCAATGATTTTGATTATTTTCCCAGTCAGCTGTATAGCTCATCATTCCAAATATGTACATTTACTACATTTAGTGGACAGTGTGATGATGTGACATTCAAAGATCAAGTGTGCCGTGTTAAAATAACCAGTGATATGTGGTTATGTGCTCATATCCAGGTGTGTTTGGCATTATATGGTATATCTTCTGGCTCCTGCTGGCTTATAATAGTCCAGCGATACATCCCACCATCAGTGAAGAAGAAAGAACATATATAGAGGCCTCTATTGGGGAAGGAGCCAATTTAATGAGTTCTACTGAGGTAGTTCTAAGTCTTCTGTCATGCATTTGATACAACAAGCACATTGTTAAACAGAGAAGGAGGTTTTTCCCCATTTATTTATTCAAATATTCTCTTTGTAGAAATTTAAAACTCCTTGGCGTAAATTTTTTACATCTATGCCTGTCTACGCCATCATTGTGGCAAACTTCTGCCGCAGCTGGACCTTCTACCTCCTGCTTATTAGTCAGCCAGCGTACTTTGAAGAGGTCTTTGGGTTCCCCATCAGCAAAGTGAGCTGTTATGTGATTTATACGTACAGAAGCATCAGTGATTTAAACTAACAGTCCTTTGCAGTACAATTCCCTCTTAGAAATAGGCTAACTAATTGATGTTGGGCTGTTTCAGGTGGGCATTTTGTCAGCAGTGCCACACATGGTGATGACGATCATTGTGCCCATAGGAGGTCAGCTGGCTGACTTCCTGAGGAGTCGGAAAATCCTCTCTACTACAAACGTGCGAAAAATCATGAACTGTGGAGGTATGCTAAGCTCTCCGTGTAGCCCCGCCCCAAACTCACACCATTGGTTGAGAATTCACTTACACATACACTTATGGTTCCATGAAGAACCTTTAACATCCATGGAACTTTTCCATTACAAAGTTCTTTACAGTGGGAAAATGTTTGATTACACTTATTTTGAGGGTCCCCTTTAGATATTCTCTTAACTGTAAATAACGTTCCACCTTGAGTATTAGTAGACTTTTAGGGGGAGGATTAGAGTTAGTAGAATAAGGGGTTAAAGGGTTTGAAGAATAAGTTGGCATGTTCTTGCAAAGTTACTTAGTCAGTAGAATTTCTGTTGGGGGAGCATACAAATAAAGTGTCAGCAGATATTAAGCAGACAGTTTACTAGGACTCTAATGAGAGTTAGTTGACATTTAAGTGCAAAGTTACTAACAGTAGTCAACATAATGTCTAAAGGGGACCATCAAAATAAAGTGTTACCAAATGTTCTTCACACTAAGAAAAAATGGTTCTTTTAAGAATTGTTTTCTGAAAGGTTCTTTGGGATATCCAAAATGGTTCGTTATTCTATGGCATCACTGTGAAGTCCCCCTTTTGGAACCTTTATTTTTAAGAGTGTACGCATATTTAATTGGGATATAAAAGTATAAAAATACACACATTTACATGTAAAAAAAAAACAGTTAGGAGCAGTTCACACGTAATGCGTTATTGCTTTTAAAGACTCGTTTTAAAGGTTAAACTTCATAGTTCACCCAAAAAATGAAAATTCTAACCCTCAAGTAGTTCCAAACCTGTATGAAGTTCTTTCTTCTGCAGAACACAAAAGATGATATTTTGAAGAATATGGGTGACAGTTGATGGGCCCCATGCATGGACTTCCATAGTATGGGGAAAAAAAATACTATGGAAGTCAATGGGGCCCATCAACTGTTTGGTTATCGATATTCTTCAAAATATCTTCTTTTGTGTTCAGAAGAAAGAAATGAATACAGGTTTGGAACAAATTGAGGGTGAGTAAATTACGACAGAATTTTCATTTTTGGGCGAACTATCCCTTTAAGAGGCTATTCGCACAGAATGCATTTTTTGCGATTAAAACGCGAGAAGCACGCAGGACAATGAATGAGAATAGGTATAAAGACACACTGATCTGACTTCTACCATCATCCATAGGTTTTGGCATGGAGGCCACGTTGCTGCTGGTGGTCGGGTTCTCACACACACGTGCAGTGGCCATCTCATTCCTCATCCTGGCAGTGGGCTTCAGTGGATTTGCGATATCAGGTGACTCATGAGACGGGTGTCAGTCACCAGAGTGTCAATCAACATCACCCCTTTGCCGTTTTCCTTTGTTTGATAATCTAACCTTTCCTTCAAATAACATCATTTTTTTCTTGAATATTTCTGTGTTGCTCAGTTATAGGAGAAGAACAACAAAGTATAAAGTGCATGATGATGCAACCTGCAATATTAGTTTCTGAAATTACACAGGAGAACATCTAAATATGTGAAATGTATTTCTGTTTTACAACACAGGATTCAATGTAAACCATCTGGACATAGCTCCTCGCTATGCCAGTATTCTTATGGGTATCTCTAATGGAGTAGGCACCCTGTCTGGCATGGTTTGCCCCCTCATCGTCGGAGCACTTACTAAACACAAGGTACTAAAACAGATTATCCTTGTGCATATAGAACCATATGTATCATTTTTCTAACCTAAGAGATACAAGCCCACGCAACTTGTCTTTTTCCTTATATTAGATAAAGGGAATTGTTGAGTGTGTGAATATTCCTGAGTATTTAAATACATGACATGAATATTTATAGCAGTGTTGCTCAAATCGTCGGCCGGGGCCCACTAGGGGGCCTCAGTAAACTTCCAAGGGGGCCTCAAGTAAAAAAGTATTTAAATTAATAATTGTTATTAATATATTAAAATAATTGATCTCTAATCTAAACTAAAATATGTAAATTGAAATGTATTTGTTTTATAGTATTAGATCAGATTTGTTATTTGTTATATATTAGATCATCAGCTTTATTTTACTTTGGAACAAAGCACTCCAATACATTTCTGTCCTCAACAGACTCGCCTGGAGTGGCAGCACGTGTTTATGATCGCGTCCATGGTGCATTACACTGGCGTGATCTTCTATGCCATCTTTGCATCTGGTGAGAAGCAGGACTGGGCTGATCCTGAGAGCACTAGTGATGAGAAATGCGGCATCATCGGGGAAGATGAGCTGGCTGATGAGACCGAACCCAGCAGCGACAGTGTCCTGGCGACCAAGCAGAAGACCTACGGAACAACAGAGAACTCTGCAGGCCGCAGGCAAGGCTGGAAGAAGAAGAAAGGCGTGACCATGCAAGCTGACGAAGAAGATCACGGATCAAACCATTATGAAAATGGGGAATATCAGAACCAGCAATGACATTTTGGTTATCGAACGCCCAAGACTGAATGGTGAGGTGTAGGAGTATTATTTAAGTAACTGCAGAAATAACCCCAACCAGGGGCTACAGCATTTCACTTGACGTTCGACACAACAGTAGATTTGAGTTGTGAAGAAATATTTTGGATGGCTTCCTTAATTATTTCACCCTGCTGTAGAACCTGAAGGAAGAGTCACATGACACCGATCTGAGTATAGTTTGACATGATGGAGATTTGTAGCCGTGAAGAAAGTTTCAACTGGAGTCTACACTATCATTCTAAAGTTTTTCTTTTTTTGAAAGAAATTAATATTTATCCAGCAAGGATGCATCAAATCGATCAAAAGTGACAGTGAAGACATTTATAATGTTACAGAAGATTTCGGTTTTCATATAAATGCTGTTCTTTTTTTCATTGAAGAATCCTGAAAAACGTATTACGTTTCCACAAGGAATGAAGGATCATGTTTTAAGAATGATTTCTGAAGGATTAGAATGATTAAAATGAAAATATAAGGATCATGTGACACTGAAGACTTGAGTGATGGCTGCTTTGAATGAATACATTACATTTTAAAATATATTAAAACAGAAAACAGATATTTAAAATGTAGTCTATATATAGTGGTCCCAAAAGGTGGATATTAAAGTGACACTTAAAAATGTCTGAATGCCTTTGCATTAGATAATAAATATCAAAACGTGGCATCTGCTATCAAATAACTCTAGACCTTTTCTCAAAACGGATTTCACTGTTCTGAACTGTTATTTGCAGATAGTCCTAATAGTATTTATATAACTTTTTGTGAATCGTTTGTTTAAAAAGTGTGCTTGTGCTATATTTCTAAACATTTCTAAAATAAGTGCCACTAGATTTGATATGTTTTGTACCTATGCAATGACATTCATACATTAAGTCTGGCTTAAGTGTCCAAATACTTTTGAGGATACTGTAATTTAGTCTGGCAACAGAACAAAGAACAAACAAATGCATTGAAAAGTTTTACAGTAAAATAGGCCATGCATGCCAGAATAAATTAAACTTAATTTTACAGAAAATCTTAATTTTGTTCCAAAGGCTTTTTATATCTACCGTATTAAGGCTGACAGCAAAAAAAAAAAAAAAAAAAAATGCATCAATTCTTTTTTATTTGATTATTTTATGTTTTCATTGTTGTCAGCTATATGCAAACAAAGCAGATGTATAGTTCATAAGCAGGTTAAACATTTTTCCATGGCTTTTCTTGCATGCAGTTGTGCAGCCTCCACAAAGGTTTTTGCTGGTTTTGATTAACACTTCTCCGAAAATATCGCTCCTTGTATTATCCTGAAAGTTAATAATGGTCTGAAAAGGGATGTGTATTTAGTAGAATGCCTTTGAAAAATGCATATGACCACCATTAATATCTCATTGTTCAGTTTATCGTTTACATAATGTTTAGGTGGGAGAGCATGGATGAAGTTTGGTTGAAAATTTTGAAATTAACCATTTTAGTACAGAAGAACTTATTGAATTGAATATGGATTTCATAAAAGAAAAAATCCGCAATGTGCCTGATTTTTTTGCACAATACCAGTTATGAAAAGACATTTCATCGCTTACATGGATGTTAAGATGATTGTTTGAAATGTGCACTTTACCATTGCATCATTGTAACTGATGTCTCTTTAAGTGTTTATTTGGAGGAGAATAAAAAAAATGCTTTCAATGGATCTTTTACTTTAATACATTTATATGTGATGCAAAACAATGCCGGCTAGTATTTTAATATAGCTCAGATTACATTCATAATTCATTCTGTTTGGCACATTACATTACAGCAGCGGTTGCTCTTCTGTTTAAATCTTACACTATTAATGAGTCGAGTGTGGAACAAAAGAAATCGAAGTACCGGTACACGTAACCGAGACTTCTAACTCACGCCATGTTCTTTCTCAGAGAAAATAGATGCTTTTCAACCAGCTTGTTTACACTGGGATTCTTAAATTAGCTCACTTTGTCTTTGTTGGGAGCTAACAGCACTTTCCTGGTTTCTGTCATGTGGGAGTAAACATCCTTCACATTATCGCTATTCGTAAACACATGTTCACACTCACAGCAGCATTTTACAGTGTAGGCTACACAACAAATTAGTCTGACCACCCAAAGCTTCGTGAACTACTTGGCAACAAATGTTATTTTTTAATAACCTCTTTATTGGGACATTAAAACACTTTGGCTATACGAGTACGTTCACACTGTCAGTCCAAATCCATATTTGGGTATCCGATCTAAATCATTGACTCTCCACATTGTGTATCGCAACTGTTTAGATCCGATTTGTGTGTCCATGCTGCTCTTCCGTTTTCCGGAATATCTGCATTGGTTTCTATGGCAATGACGTTGCGTTGGTTTACGCCAAAGACAACAACAGCAACATAGAGGGGTTTGCAATAGATGCCGTTTTATTAACAACATGACAATAGCTGGACTACTGCATCTTGAGGCGGCAGCAGCAGAACAGTAGGAGGTTGGAATGTGCGGCTTTATTCTGTGCTGTCGTCTCCACCGGTTTCAAAACAGGTCTCCATTATATTGTTATTTTCTGCTTGTCTGGGACTTTTTGCAACATCACAACCTTGTTTCTGCAGCAACTTTCAGCATGTTTCCTATAACGACGTCTGACGTTTACGTTTTACTTGGCGTGAGAAAGTCACCTAAACAACGCAAAATTCGATCAGAGATATACATTTGAATGTAATTTGTAAATAAATCGCATTTCATGTGATTGTTGGCCGTTCACACTTGCTAAATCGGATCTGATTTCAATCGGAAATGCACAAAAATAATATTTGTACTGACAGTCTGAACGTAACAGTCCTCACAGAAAACTGCCGAGCTTAAAAAAAAGTGTATATACAGTATACATTTCATAATTGGTCCAAAAGATAAAAAATAAATAAATAAAAAAAAGTTTAAAATAATAATAAATAAACAAATGTAGTCTACTGAAAAGAGTGTTCTCCCTTGATGGTTCTCCCTTTATTTTAGTATATTATTTATATACTATTATAGTTTTTATTAATATTGAATTACAATTTTAAAAGGTTTATATAGGTTTAATTTATTTGTTTATTTTTAGTTGAAGTCTTACCTTAGTTTTATTTTTTATTTAGTTTCTTTTTAAATAGTTATATTTAATTTAATTTCAGCTTTATTTCACTAAATAAGAATGTTTTTAATAATTGTATGGATACACTAAATAACCCTGATGGGTTGCCATGTTTTATAAAAAGAAAATTTAATGACAACCTTAATGCAAATTTTATTTTATCCAGTTTAAGGACATTAGAGAAAAACTTTTTATGTAACTGCCACCATAAAATGTGCAATTAACAGTGCCACCATAATCAAACATAAACCGTATGTGGTTACTATATTATTCAGCCCTCAAGATTCAACTTCTTGAATCTCTAGTTCCAGCACAGCTTAAAGAATAGATCAGAGTAAAGTGACACTTCAGCAATGTGTGTTTTCAGTCATTTAATGCACCATCATTTGATGTGCTTGGTTGACTATATACTATTACATGTTAACAGGTCTTTTTGGGGTAAATCTTGGGAAAGTTCAAGGTTGTGGACCTTGTTATGGTGTGTAATGGCATTTTTTGTGCCACAGTCCTTGACAGCTCATGTTTAACATGCTGATATGCAGCCTCTCACTGGTTTGTAGAACTGTTTGATGGTCTTATCTCTACATCTACCTTTTATGATTTGATGTGCGGTTCTAAAACAGTAAGCACTTTTTATTTTGAGATTAACAACCAGATAGGTACCAGATTACTATCAAACCTAAAGGGGCTTTAGGTAATAGCTCTCCATTATTGTACCATAGCTGTGATTACTCAGAATGTATTAGAGATAGCACATTCTCGCATTTCAGACCTTTTAGTTTGCTTTGGCTTAGGTTTATCAAACTACATACATAGAGAGAGATTAAGCGCTCGCTACATTCACTTGGACACCTCAAAACGACAGCAAAAAGTATTTTTGATGTGAAATTTCATTTAAAAAAGTGCATTTAAATCTGTTAAAATGGACTTCTTGTTTAAAAAAAAAAGCCTGTGCCGTGTGACTCACAAAATAGCTGAAGTGTTTGGTGATAGCGTTAAAAGATTTTTAATGGAGCCATGAGCGTGTCCTTCACACAAGGCCATCCATACCTCCCCCACCCTCCATGCTCAGAACGACTGCCAGCCTATGGCAAAGGTTTTGTTTATTTCAGAGTGCTGTCTGTTGACTCAGAAGGGCCCTCTTTGGATGGAGCAACAGCCGGTAAATGATTAAGAGCTTGTTTTTAGATACATTTGCAATTATACCGAGATGCAGGACTTCATCACGTTTTGGTCAAATTACACCTCACAAGTGGGGTGTGAGCGTGTGACTCACCTAAATGTCATGGCATAGAGAAGAAATTTTACACTCTTGGTTTTATATAGAACCTTATAGGGTTCTGTCAGGCACTTCATATATAGAGCTTTTTAAGGGTTTCCACACTCTAAAAAATGCTGGGTTGTTTCAACCCAAATTTGGGTCAAATATGGACAAACCCAGATGTTGGGTTAAAAATGTAATTAAAAAATTTACAGTTGAAAGTGAAAGTTGAAGTTGGGTTAACATTTTAAATTACATTTTTAACCCAACATTTGGGTTTGTCCATATTTGACCCAAATTTGGGTTGAAACAACCCAACATTTTTTAGAGTGCATCATTTTATGGACTTACTTTTAATGAATTAATTTAGCTTTAATTCTTTTTTAACCGTAATTGTATTTTATGAATTAAACAGATAAACATACTTTATCAGATAAAATTTAAATAACAACATGAAAGCATTATGCATTTTTGGCATAACGTGTTCTTTAAAATTGATTCAAGATCTCTTGGGTTTTACCACATTAAAACTTTTTTCGAAGAGTACACCATCTATGCATTTGTACACAGAAAAAAAAATTGATGTAGGATTTAATTTGAAACTATTTAAACTGCTAGTATTAGTATTAATTTGCTAGTAAAATAACGGCAAATAACTGTTACATGTGTGTCCTGTGTTTCCCCCCGTCATTGTGATTTGGTTTAGTCCTGTGTTAGTTTTCCCGCTCCTCGTTTGTGTTCAGTTCCTTCACCTGTGTCTAGTTTATTTGCCCCAGCTGTGTCTTGTTCTCCTAATCTGTTCTGTGTATTTAAACCCTGTGTTCTCCCTCACTCCTGTTCGGTTCTCGTTCGTATGTACGTTTGTATATGGTGTGTTAGTGTTTTCTGGATTCCTGGTCTGAGTTATTTAGTAAAGATTATTGTATTTGATCTGCTGACTGCTGCCTCTCCTTCAACCTGCACCACACCCGTAACAGAAGAACCGACCGTTACAGCAGCATTATGGGCATCTTCCTCTACCCTCAAGATTCCACCGACCTTCTCCTCAGCCTCTCCCAGAATCACCATCCGATCGAGACCTACGTCGAGGAATTCCTCCACCTCGCCCATCAGGTGTCCTGGAAAGAGGAAGCCCTCAAGCACTCCTTCTGGATGGGTCTGGACGATCCACTCTTTGGGCAATTTCCAGCTACTGCCACCACATGTTCCCTTAGGGAATATATCGACAACATCCTGTGGGTGAGTGGATCGTCCTACACCGTTGATGTAACCCCAGATCTCCCTTCTGTTCCTGTCTCCCCACTGTGTCCAGTGTCTCGTTCTGCCGAGACCGTCATGCCTATGCATCACGTCATGCCCACCGTGCCAGTTGGAATTTTGGTGGAGCTAAAAGAGGAAGACTGGCTTATAGACTGGGACACAGAGCTTCCCTGCAGCCCAGCCGACCCTTCACCACTGGTTCGGTCCAGCCTAGCCAAGCCTGCACCACTGGTTCCGTCCGGCCCAGCCAAGCCTGCACCACTGGTTCTGTCCAGCCCAGCCAAGCCTGCACCACTGGTTCTGTCCAGCCCAGCCAAGCCCTCACCGCTGGTTCCGTCCAGCCCAGCCAAGCCTGCACAGCAGCTTCACGTCGCTTGCCCGCCAGCGCCCCACTGCAGCCCTGCCGAGCCTGAGCTTCCCTGCAGCCCTGCCGAGCCTGAGCTTCCCTGCAGCCCTGCCGAGCCTGAGCTTCCCTGCAGCCCTGCCGAGCCTGAGCTTCCCTGCAGCCCTGCCGAGCCTGAGCTTCCCTGCAGCCCTGCCGAGCCTAAGCTTCCCTGCAGCCCTGCCGAGCCTGAGCTTCCCTGAACGCCTGCAGAGCCAGAGCTTCCCCGCACGCCTGCCGAGCCGGAGCTCCCCGCACGCCTGCCGAGCCAGAGCTTCCCCGCGCGCCTGCCGAGCCAGAGCCTTCTCCGCTGGTCCCGTCCAGTCCTCCCGAGCCTTCTCCGCTGGTCCCGTCCAGTCCTCCCGAGCCTTCTCCGCTGGTCCCGTCCAGTCCTCCCGAGCCTTCTCCGCTGGTCCCGTCCAGTCCTCCCGTGCCTTCTCCGCTGGTCCCGTCCAGTTCCCCCAAGCATGTCTCTGAACCCGTCACTCCCCCCAAGAAAATTTTGGGGGGGGGATATAAGCCACCCGAGGGACAGTCTCCACCCTGGCCACCTGAAGTGGCCTCTCCACCCTGGCCACCTGAAGTGGCCTCTCCACCCTGGCCACCTGAAGTGGCCTCTCCACCCTGGCCACCTGAAGTGGCCTCTCCACCCTGGCCACCCGAGGGAAAGTCTCCACCCTGGCCGCCCGAGGGAAAGTCTCCGCCCTGGCCGCCCGAGGGAAAGTCTCCGCCCTGGCCGCCCGAGGGAAAGTCTCCGCCCTGGCCGCCCGAGGGAAAGTCTCCGCCCTGGCCGCCCGAGGGAAAGTCTCCGCCCTGGCCGCCCGAGGGAAAGTCTCCGCCCTGGCCTCCTGCACATCCTGCTCCGCCCTGGAGGCTTCCTGCTCAGGGTAGGCCACGCCCTCGTCAGCCTCCAGGGCGCCCGCCCCCCCACCCCTTTTGAAGTTATACGGCGCGAGGACGCGCCTTTTTGGAGGGGGCGTTATGTTACATGTGTGTCCTGTGTTTCCCCCCGTCATTGTGATTTGGTTTAGTCCTGTGTTAGTTTTCCCGCTCCTCGTTTGTGTTCAGTTCCTTCACCTGTGTCTAGTTTATTTGCCCCAGCTGTGTCTTGTTCTCCTAATCTGTTCTGTGTATTTAAACCCTGTGTTCTCCCTCACTCCTGTTCGGTTCTCGTTCGTATGTACGTTTGTATATGGTGTGTTAGTGTTTTCTGGATTCCTGGTCTGAGTTATTTAGTAAAGATTATTGTATTTGATCTGCTGACTGCTGCCTCTCCTTCAACCTGCACCACACCCGTAACAATAACACATTGAATTAAACGTGACTTTTTAAGTAGTATTTTCTTTTAAAACATACTTTAATAGTTTTATTTGCAACGTCTTTTTACAGTGTATTGTGGTAATTGTCTCAAAAAATATTTTTTATTTAAAAATATTTTTATTTATTTCGAGAAATATATTTGGGCTTCTGCAAACAGATTAAATAAGACATTACATCTTCATTACATTTTTAAATTTTGTTATATTCAAGTAGGAATTGTTTTATTTTTTAGATTATTTTATATTTATTTTTTTCTCATTAATCACTTATTTTTATTAATTTATTTAGAGGACCCAACATAATACATAAAAATGCAAAACATTTTAGAAATTGAATCCAATTTAATGTTTTCGAAAATTATAGTTTAATAAGCATAATATTAAATGTTTTAAATGAATTTTGATTAATGAAGTATATTAAGTATTTCTAAAAAAATCCTTGGAAGATTGAAAACATTCTAATAATCTCAAAGTTAGGAACACAAATGATGCAAACGTATCTAGTAAATGTGCATTTCAGTGTATATTATGGAACGGTCTTTGAGAAGCGCAGTGAAACAGATCGTCTAAAGTTTATTTCCAGCAATTGACACTAGTGTCAGCCTGCCATGTGTTGCCAAATGTGTCATCATGCCCGTTTAGAATATCATGAGCCAAGTTGCAGTATAATTGGTCATTGAGCAATCATCAGACCCTGAAGTAGTCTACTCCTTCACGTAATATGTAATGTGACCAAATTGCAATGCACAATTTTGAACCAAACCAACAAAGATCAAGCTTATAATTTGAACACAAGTATCGGATATCAAAGTTTTCAGTCATGAGCCAAAATAGAGCTGATGTGCTTCTATCCAAATGCTTTCAATAGCATGAGCGACTAGCGTTATTCAGTAATAATTGTGTTTTCATGAGTGGTATGTGGGGGTGCATCACTGGGGAATGTGTTGGGAAGAAGGGTGTGCTGGACGGGTTATCTCTCACTATTAAGGAGGTAATGCTGCATTTGTAGGCCTGTCAGCCAAAGTTTGGAGCACATGGGAAAGGGAGGGACTGCTACTACTCATGAGGAGAAACAGAGAGATAGTTTAATTAATAACCACTGTCCCTTTTCCCAATGACCCCATCCGCTCAGAGAACTGTCTAGTAACACACAAAGCTTGATTCCTCTTCCCAAATACTGATGGCTTTGAACATCAAAACGGGACCACAGAGCACACAGCGTCTGTTAAAGCAATAGGTAAGAAAATAACATTTCTGATATTTGTTACTAAAATAAATCAGCTTTGATAGCTTATATAACTTTTGGCAAGGGTGGGTGAAGAGATTTACTGGTTTGAAATTGCACTATGTTATGAGACCCTCCGTGTATGAGCATGTAAGCTCATGGGAAATTATAGATTGGATTAATTGCATATAAAAATGGGAAACTGGTTGTGACTGATGTATCAATCAATATCGCTAATGGTTTAGGCCTGGTCTGATAGTAGCTTGTGACACTGTGGCCACATATCCTATCACAGCACTGTTACTTTTCTTAAAGGAACCAGTGTTTCATCTTGTATTATTTACAAGAAAGGTGTGAACGTCATAAAATGGCACCGTTGGTGGAAAAAGAGCATTGCTGCTGGGCGTAAGATGGTGTTTTACCTCCAAAGTTTTCAAAGGAATGGCGCTAGAATTGCTTTATACAGTTTCAAAAGAACATGAGCAGACATGCTAATATTGATATTTTAAGAACTTTTAAGCACACATAACATTTTCCTGCCTGGACAAGTTCATTTTGTTCACTTTATGGTTTCTTAAAGTAATAGCACTGTGAAGTAAAGTAATTAAAACCTAATTTCATAGTGCTGAAAGTTAAAGTAATTAAAACCTCATTTATGTAGTTAAACTTCTGAATATTAATGTTTCATTTCAGCCACATAAGGTAGGCGAACACTAAAGGATCCCTCTCTACCTGTCAGTGTCAGGATTATAAAAGGTTTTTATAAGCAGCACTATGCGTTTATAAAAATGATATAGTTGCCTGGTCTAACCTGGGCTATATAGAGAAGAATCTGAGATTACTGGATGAAATATTGTGCTGCGCTATCAAAACATAATGTGAATAATCCAAAAGACGACGATAGGTAATTTAGTTATTGAAAAACATGGAAAAAAGCAGACATCATGAAATTTAGTGCCAGATTGTTCAGGTGTGCTAAATAAAATGACCAGAGCTGGAACTGGTGCAAAGGTCACTGCTATTATTTCTAGAATTTCCCATTGAAAAAACACACAAAAAAAACAACAACAATAATAATTATGTCCTGCATATCTGAAATGACTTCTAACAGTTACACCATAAGATTAACAGGACATTGTCCTCCTGAATGGTTTCACAAGGGAATGTGAATGAATGTGAATGATATTGCTGTAGTATAAAAGGTTAATCACTGTTTTTTGTCCTGAATCTTGCACCTAAATCAAAGTGTAACAATTTATGTAAAGTGTTTTACTAGATTGCGTCAATACCTTAATTTGCAATAAAACCTTCCTCCGCATGCAAGTTAAGAAATCACTTCCTCCATTTGTCTAGAAGAAACAGGATTAACCCCATCATTTCCATTCTGAACTGAGGGATCTTTGGACGCCAAGACTCAACACACAGGCTTCTGAATGAATGAGTGGGTGGGCCATGACGTCAATGTGGTGGGACCTTTACAGATCCCAACCAGCGATGCATTCCCTCTATCAGAGGGCTCACACTTTTTTGGTGAGTAGGCTATATTGGAAATTCACACTGATTTCTTTCTTATGTTTTTCTAATCCTATATATTTTGCCATGGGTGATGTAATAATAATATGAGTCAGAAACTATGAAATAAACTGAAGCAAATTTCTGTTATTAGCAGAAGCAAAAAAAGTGAAACTGTCACCTTTAATTTTACCACCACGCGTCAGCATGTTTTGTTCTATGACATTTATAAAACTAGATCGATCCTACCTGTTATGAGACCGGGAACTGTGACTGTCAGGTTAATGAGCAACTATAGCAACCTTTGTTCACACTAGCACTTCTGAGGATTTCAAGTGTTCAGGAACAGTAATACTTTGTGAAAAGAGACACAAAGACACATGCTGAGGAGTTGAAGGAATATAGTTGGATGGTTAGGAATCGATACAGCTAATGATCATCAGTACCCTTACTGGGTAGCACTGAAATGGCCATGGTTCAGGAGAAGGGTTCAGGTCGGTACCACTCATGACACAGTGCTCATAATATATTGTGTTATGAATTTAGTACAAACTTTTTAGATGGCTTTTTACTTGAAAGTTATTGAATTGCCATGCAGGTTGCAAGGAGTTTGTTGTGACATTTTTTTTGAAACTGAACTACATTTGGGCAAAATTTCTTTTTTCATTTTTGTTAATAAAGAATAAAAAAAGGAAAAGCGCAGATGACCTGATGACTGAAAAGCTGGGCTTGAAACATACTTAATGCTAGCAACATTTTTAGACACTATTCTAACTTTATTTCCAGCATCATTGTGTTCTGAAATTGTCCAGACCACAATACGTAACAGAAAGTGCTTGTAAACTTCTCAATGCTGCCACATGAGGCGCTGTAGCGGTCATTAGCATAAAGTGTCTTCTTTTATGGTCAATGTGAAGAAAATCTTGCTAAGCAAGTTAATTCAAGTCAACATGTTCACAGCAACTAACCTAAATAATAACAAATGCAGTTTAAAGTCGCAATGTAACAGAAGTAGCAACAAATCTGTTATTTTAGCAACAAATCTGTTCTTCTGTGTTAATTATCGAAAATGAAAAAAAACGTAGGCCGGGGACTAGGTTGTATCCATCGGTTCTGTTGTTGATTGGATGGAGGCAGATCTGAATGCGAGCTTGTAGTTGATTGTAAGAAAGGGGCGGTGCTTAAACTAAATGTTTGGAGAAGTACGGCATACGACATCAGAGAAGTCTGTCGTTTCACAGGAAAAATGAACAATTACAAGCTCAAATAGATATCTTGGCCGATAAATCTAAATCCAAATTTTTATATAATTTTTGGTCTCAATCACACAATTATAATGTTCTCATTGCAATTTCTATGTAGCCTATATGACAGATTTGCACTGCATATTGCACTTAACTGTATTTTACTTTTTTGAAGTGATTCCAATTATATTTCAAGCAATTCAAAACCATCATGGCAAACAGTGCACATCTGAAGGAAATAATACATTATTTATCGGCTTTAATATATCGGACAGATTTTCTTATCAGGCCGATAGTGATCAAATTAAAAACAAACATATATCGGCTGATACCAATATGGTGGCTGATATATCGTGCATCCCTACTTGTCTTGTTTATTAATAGAGCCAATTATCAAATATCCAAACCAAAATTGTTATAAAAAAATATATAAAAATTCTAAAAATTAAAACCCTCAGACAGTGATTTTGTGTATAAAAAAAGAGCTTGGTTAATGATTTCTTGTTTTATTTCTGGGTGTGTTCGACTTCTGTATTATGTACATGTCACAAAATCTCCTGCTACTATTTAGATAGAGGCTGGTTATGTTTTTAACACTCACTTATCAGTAGTGGAGATTTTAATGGCTCTGGGGGTGTCTGCAAGGTAACAGTACCTCAGTGTGTTGTAGTTTCACTAATCGTCCTGTTGGCATAAGAACTATTAGCACTTTGTGCTGGGCTAAATCAGTAAGGTTAACCTGATCTTTGCTTCTCCATGACACATGTAAACTGACAAGCACTACTCACTCTTGCCATCTTCTCCTCAGATATTCTGGCAGAGCAGAACAGTCCTTTGCTACATGACCAGGAAGTCATGCCCTTCACCAGCTATCCCAGCATGCAGTACACCTCGGTGGAGCCCTCCATGTCATCACCATCATACTACTCCAATCAGCATTGCTACTCACAGTACAGTGGGGAGGAGTGGTACTCTACATCCAATGTGTTTGAGATGAGGAAAGGACCGTTGGAAGGCAGCTTTGATAATGAGCTCGACGAGTCTTGCCCCGTAGTCCCGACTGCGTGTAAAAGGTCCAGACACGCAGCCCACTCCGGAAGGAGCAAAGGCGAAGAACTGTGTGTTGTCTGTGGAGATAAAGCATCAGGGTATCACTACAATGCACTCACATGTGAAGGATGCAAAGGTGAATCCCATTTTACTTTTCTTTTGCAGCCGTTTTTACTCCAAAGCTTTATTTGGCAAACTCAAGCTTTTCACAGGGCCGGGAACCGTTCTTAGTTCTTATTCAGATTCGGTTCCACGTTTCTGTCAATGGTTCTCCCACGTCCACGGAACACCGCTACTGAATGAAGCAGACAGCTCGATTGGCAAACTAATGAATCTTTTATGCTGGTTCTTTTTTAAGTGAATCAAAAATACGTGTATGTGTGTTGGAGCAAGGTTGGAACTAAACTATGAAGGACTGTGGCCCTCCAGGAACTGAGTTTGACACCCCTGTGTAAGCTGTTTGTGTTTGATTCACTAAAAAGAACTGATTCATTAGATTATTATCATCGGGAATCGGACTACACTAGCTTTTGATTCTCTAAAATATGCTTAAAGTCATTCGTTCGGGAACCTGACTAGATTGGTTTGCGGTGTATGGTTTTGCTTGACTAAAAAGAACCAGCATATGAATTATAGGCTACTTTCGGGAATCGGATCGGACTACATTTCCGCGCGCCGTTTTTCAAATGAGCCTGAAGGACAAGATTAGCTGGATCAGGTGTGTTTAATTGAGGTTTAAGCTAAACTCTGCAGGGCTGTGACCCTCCATGGACTGAGTTTGACACGCAGGCTTAACTATAAAGGCTATACTGAGATCAGTATAGTTACAGGTTGTTCATATGAAAACATGTAGATAAAGATACAAGTTATGATTTTCTCTGTAGGCTAATAGATTTTATATAAATATGAATCATTTAAATATGTTGAAATGTTAATATGGTGTTAGTGTTGCTGTATAGCTACTATTAGCCAATTATTGGATTGCATCTTTTTTTTTTTTTTTTTACATTAATTTATTATTGGTACACTATGTAACTTTTGGCCCTCTAGCGGTTAAAAAACAAAACTGTATTTTGCGGAAGAACAGTGTTTTGGTTATGCTTCAGCTGTGTGACTGTGCAGATGGTTATTTTTCATAACTATAAGATATATAGATTATCCTACAGCACATAAAACATTCACTACTAAGCTTTAGAGACATAACCAGTTTAGAAATAGACACGGTAACTTACTTCCTTGAAAATAAATTCCAGCACATTGCTACGGTAACCCTTGAAATAACCCTTCACAGATAATGCTTTACAATCTGTTACATATGGCAATTTATCTGTTTAATAAAATTCATATACTCGCCTGTTGAGTAATAAAAACACAGTCTCTAGCTTTTACAACATTTCAAATCCCTCAGTTCTCCCCATTTCCGAAAAGCCGAGCCAATTGATGCTCGTTTTTTTTACGAGCTCTAACACATTATCTTTTTGCCAGCAGGCTCTGTTTGGAGGTTGTTGTTGTTGTTGTTTTAAACGGGTGATTTTCCGGAAGTTCAAGATTTAGCTACTCCGTCAACCTTTTTGGTTTGGTTCGCTGCCTGAACACTTTTCTCTGTTTACGGATACCACAAATGCACACTCGAGTGACGTAGGCCTACGCAATTTCCCGCGAAAATCATCCCTCTGGTCTAAAAAAACCAAACTTATAATAGGCTCACCATAGTAAATGGTAAAATTGATGAAGTTCTGTTAATTTTGAACAAAGAAAGTTTGGTAAAGCTTGCTTTTACACTCCTGTTACCCATGTACATACTATGTACTTTATTATAGTAATTACAATTACTGGGTAATAACTATAGGTACTAAACCTGAACCTACCCCTAACCCATGTACTTACCTTATATTAGCCAGTACTTTCTAGGTAAGTACACTGTAAGTACTGTACTGTAAAAGGAAGCGTTACCGAAAGTTCTCATCATTTGGCAATTCAATTGTTTGTTTTTTTAAATCAGACCAGCCTGACATAGCAACATTGGCTCAACCAACGGTGTGAGTTTGGAGCGGGACTATCTGCCTCACTCAAAGAAGACATAATGGAAAGCTGTTTGAAAACAATTATTTTCCCTATATTATTTCATGCAAGAGGCATAAATTATACATAACCTTTAAGGTCAAACATATAGCTTTGCCATTTTTTTTATTTGATATATAACATGTGCTGTTGCACCCTTTGTTCTGTGACCTCTTTAAACCTTCATATTGCAGTGTGCCTAGTCTTGGCTAACTTATGAAGGACGTAATAAATGACATGTAACCCCATGCATGCGCCAATTTTAGCTCTTTGGAAAATCATTGGCTGAATGACTGCAAGTGTAATTCCACCTGTGCATGGACAATGCCCAAAGGGCAGATCCTGGGCTATGTGTCCAGAATCCCATAGGGTTGGCACCTTCACGTTCAGTTTGGATTGGGTTCCCTCTCAGCTTTCTGCTGAATAATGATGTAGGCAACCAGAGCCACACGCCGCCATGCAAAGTTAATGTGTGTCATTGTGCTCATGGGTTCATGCTGTAATAATTACCTGTTCCAAAAACAACTGCACGTGTTTGTCTGCTGCCTAGAACTGGAAATCAAGCATCCAGGAGTATCGGTATTACAGTACTGAACGTAATGTCTTAAACATTACACCATATACGTTACAAGTACTGGGCTGCAATGAACCTATTCCTTGAACTGTGTTTACAAAGTGACCTTCTTGTCTCTCAAAGTCTAGGCGTGTAGCCACTTTTGCTTCTCGTATTTTTACAATAGTTTTCAGAATAAGAGAATGGTTATAGAGCAAATTATGAATTTTGCACCTGGATGCTTTTGTATGTCTATTCTTGCCATCTGTGTATCAGACAACTGATAGTATGATGGGTAAAAAAAAACAACCTAAAAATACATATTTACTAGAACAGTGGATTTTAGGGGGTAAATTGTGAACCCAAAATGGATTTCAGGTCTGTTCTATAGGTGTGCAATGCTAAAAACAATGCTAAATGCAAATAACAAAATGATTTTTTTCTATCCTCAAAAAAACATGAGAAATGTAAAAAGGTAAAAGTAATGAAAAAAACTGGCACAAATATCAAGGGATTTTATATTTACATAGTAAATCCTCACACCTGATAAAAGACAAGGGCAATCAGCAAAATAATAACTTCGTAACAATAGTAATAATAATAAAATAAGCAAAAAGAAGACATCAAACAATTATTGAACAGGAAGACGTCCATAACTCTGTTATTGATGCAATGGTATTTCTTCTAGGTTTCTTCAGAAGGAGTATCACAAAGAATGCTGTATATAAGTGTAAGAGTGGAGGAAACTGTGAGATGGACATGTACATGCGCAGGAAATGCCAAGAGTGTCGACTCAGGAAGTGCAAAGAGATGGGCATGCTCGCAGAATGTGAGTAAGAGCACTGCAAACGTTGTAAAACTTGTTTCTCGTCAGCCTGAAAGTCACGCAATAACGTGAAATCAGATGAGACAGTTTGATCTGTAAAACAGCCGTTTTCAATAAATGCAAAGTTCTGTTATGAAACTCTAGATGGCGCTGGCTAATAGGTCCTAACTCAACCTGCTCGTAATCACGTCATTATTTATAGGGCACAGCTGGTTGGTTCCTTCTGTATCAGTAGCCAATGAGCTCACGTGCTGAACCTTCAAATACATGGGTAGCATTTGCTGTAGCAGTTGCATGTGCTTTCAGAAACCCTCCACATTCCCCAGCTCCACCTGTATAGAAAAAGAAAAAGCTGTATTTTCTAAGTTTCACATGAATAGGATGGATACAAAATATTGAATTGTTACCTAGAATCATTATTTTTAATTATACAACAGAGTCTGATGTTCAAAAGATATTATACATAAACCTTGATAAGAAACAGATTGCTTGTCTCCAGTATGCCAGTCTAGTTTATGCATCTCTTTTGTATTTGCATCCTCAGGCTTGTTAACAGAAATCCAGTGCAAATCCAAAAGACTGAGGAAAAACACAAAAGCCTCATCTGACGAAAGTATAGGGGATGATGTTGGTGATAGTAGAGATTCTAAACAGGTTGTATCTACCACAAAATCCTCCAAGGTAAGAGCGCAGGTACTGATTGGGTTAATATTATTATAATCAGTTGTGAGTTTCTAGGAAAACAAATTATGCAAAAATATCACTTTTTGATTCGTTCAACTTTTTGAGATAGTTTCCTTGATGCCATGCTTGTTATAACATAACTTTGCAGGTATAATTGCAAACTAAAGTTAAGGGTGTTCTATGGCAACTTTTATTGAAGTGCTATAAAAGGTTAAAGGGCAACCTCAATGATTCTCTTCACCATGATGACAAAATATCATTCTTCTCACTTTTTCCCACATATATACGGTTACTTCTGAAAGATTATATGATGAAGGGTTGTAAAATGGCTGTGCAGGATCAAAAGTTGGCTAGTTGACACCACCAATCTTTATTCCTTAGTCCACGTATTGGAATTCCCCCTGACCCAAATGCAGAAAAAAAAAGGTTTATACATTTTGACTTTTTGCCACATTTTCTTGTTTCAGGAAAATATAGAACTGAGCCAAGACCAGCAGGCTTTAATAAGTTATATAGTTGACGCTCACAACAAGCATCGCATCCCTCAGGATATGGCAAAAAAACTGGTATGTCTTCTGGAAATAAAAAGAACCCATCAACCTTACGCCCTTACTTATCTTATTTTAGATCACATTCTTTGATCTTTTTATGATTCATTAATGTACAAAGCAGTCAAATGCTACTGTTAAAATTAGTAAACAACTTTGCCTTTTCTTATCTCTGTTAAATCATTATGTAACCAAGGTTATTGCCACCCCAATGTCATAAAACAGTGGCTTATTTGCATGCTGATATATTTTATTTCCCTCTTCTAACCTGTCCATAGCTACAAGACCAATTTAACACAGAAGAAAACTTCCTTCTACTGACCGAAATGGCAACTAGTCATGTCCAGGTGCTGGTTGAGTTCACAAAAAACATACCAGGTACTGTTATTTCTAATTCTAGAACAGCTATTTCTACACTGTAAAAATCAACTTGGATGTTTAAGTAATTTCAACTTCAATATTACATAAAACTGACTATTTGAAAAATGAATCTTTTAACTTGTAAAAAAGAAAAGTTTAAGTAATGTAAAAACACGTTGTCATAACTTATTGATCATATAATATCTTTACACTGTATAGTACTTCCTATACAACTTGATCACAAGAACAAGATCACATAGTTCAAGATAAGGTCATGAGACACTTTATATTACACTGATCTCCCCCAGTTCTAAGCAAACATACTCAGGTTCTTGTTTTCTGAGCAGGTTTTCAGTCTCTGGATCACGAAGATCAGATCGCTTTGTTGAAAGGTTCCGCCGTAGAGGCGATGTTCCTGCGTTCGGCCCAGGTTTTCACCAAGAAACTGCCCAACGGACACACAGAGGTGCTGGAGGACAGGATCAGAAGGAGCGGTAAGCTCATTATTTGGATTGCAGCATAATTTACAGCATGATTCATGAACTGCTTCTATGGAGTGTTCAAAGGAATCGTGACTCTGGGATTGGGTTTCAAACTACTTGTTGAGCCCCTTAAACCCCAGAACACAGTCCATAAAGTTCATTGGGCGAGTTATATTAATAATGTATCTGTCCTCCCTAAATAACGTCAGGAAATTTGTCATCTTGATAATCGCGTGGTGTATGTTACACGTATAAAAGGACACTAAAGTCCAACTGGTTTCGGTTTCACAGAAGTCTAAGCACTGGATGACTGCCAGGAACGGCACAAAGAGGAAAGCCCTCATACATGTTGCTAGTGAATATATCTTCCGCATATATCACATCAAATTTTGTAAAACACTTGGTTGTGTTACAGTAGGATGCACAATCAATTCTGTCTCTTAAAAGCATCTTAAAGGGATAGTTCACCCAAAAATACAAATTCTGTCATCGTTTACTCACCCTCGGATTGTTTCAAACCTGTATACATGTCTTGGTTCTGCTGTATACACAAAGGAATATATTTAGAAGAATGTTTGTAACCAAGCAGATGTCAGGCCTGATTGACTATAGTATTTTTTTTTTTCCTACTATGGAAGCATCAACTGTTTGGTTACCCATATTCTTCAATATATATATATTTTTTTGTGTTCAGCAGAATAAAGAAATTCATACAGGTTTGGAACAACTTTAAGGTGAGTAAATGACAGAATGTCAATTTTTGGGTGAACTATCCCTTTAATGTTGCCCCACGTTTCCTCAATCACCTTTATTTCAAAGACGGTTGCTTTCAGCCTCTCAGTATTTGAAAAGCTGTAACGATCCGTCCAGTTAGTGATATTTCTGAACAGACAGATGAATGCAGAGTGGCGTACACTGTTTTGAGTCCTCCAGCATGGGCTGGGGAATATTCACGCAAAAGGCCAGCGGGGGGGGAAATAGATGCACTGTCAAAAGAGACTATTGTTCTCTATCTAAACATCGAGAGGCCTATTGTCCCACTCTCTGGCTCTCAGCGCCTCTGACATTTCTCTGGCGTGAAGTGTCAGTGTTTTTTTTTTTTTTTTGCTCTCTCTTTTTTTGGAAAGTTATGACAAAGGTTATCCTTTCATCTGAAGGGAAATGAATGATACTGAGAAAGGAGTCTGCGTGCAGTGATCATTTCATCTCTTGAGGCGGATGGCGACTGTTTGTTTATACTGAGTTTTTGAAAAGTTCGTTACACTCCAGCCCTGTTTTTCTTTAATATTAACATCTTGGTAAGCTGAATTGTTAAGTCATGTTTTTAATGTCCCAGCTGCATCAGTGTGTCGGGTTTCCCTTATTGGTCGGTCTGTAAACCAAACCCTTACGGCTCTTCACACTGAATGCTTTACATCAGAAAAGAGCTCTCGGCTTGCATAGCCAGCAAAGTATGATAATGATATCAATGATAATGATAAAGACAAAGACCTCGCACAAAACACAGGAAAGCCCTTCAAATACAGGCTTCAAATGAACTGCTGTTCACCGAGAATCCCACTGAATGTGGAAACGCACAGCTGTGGGGATCCGAGGCCAGATTCAGATCGGCTCGGACCTAACCGACAACACAAAGCAACAAGGTCACGACCCCTGATGATCTGCCACTGCACGCTGAGGGAGTTTCAGAAAGTCTCTTCCAAAGCAGACAGCAAGTAGACTGCAAAATCATTTTCTTAAGATGTACGTCTTTCTTGTTTTTGTCAAAATATATACATTTCCCTTTAACAACATTTTCTTACAAAAGATATGAAAATTTATTTTAAGAATGGATTTTAAATTAATTTTATTTTTCTTATACCTCACTGACAAATAGTTGTTGTTTTTTTAAATCCCATTTAAAGAATAGATCTAACCAAAAAGCTTAACATTAGAGATATATCTTTTAAAGGGTTAGTTCACCCAAAAATGAAAATTATGTCATTAATTACACATCCTCCTGTAAGACTTTGGTTCATCTTCAGAACACATAGACCGTCAATGGAGGGACAGTAATTGCTCAGATTTCATTCAAAATATCTTCATTTGTGTTACGAAGATAAAAAAAAGTCTTACGAGTTTGGAACGACATGAGGGTAATGACAGAATTTTCTTTTTTGTGTGAAAATTTTATTTTAAATTATTGTCTTTGCCTTATCTCACAGGCAAATAGTAGCCTATATCTAATTTAAAGTATAATTTAAACCAAACTTGAGTGAAATTTATGCTGAAAAATCAAGATGTGATATCTGAAAACAACTAAGTCTTATTTTGCTTAATTTATTATGTTTTAAGAATATTACATATTTTTAAAGGAAAAACAAGAAAATGTCATTAAATTTGCATAAGATGAAATGTAGCCATGAATGTTTATATGGATGGGTGGATTCGGATTCTGAAATTGGGCACTCACTGTTGCTTTTAAATATAGGCAACACTGCCACCCTGAGGCCCCAGAATGAAACGGGCCATTTCTAAAACATTTCATACAATAAATATAGGGATGGGACTATTACCGGTTTCACTATAAACCACGATAAAATGTACTGACGGTTAGTATTATCGTTTAAAATTTAATTATCATTAAAACCCTGTTTGATTATCGCGATTTTAATAACTCACTATAAATCCTGTCCAGCCAGCAACAGTCTGAGGCCGGTGACACACTGGCTGCGTGGCGTGAGCGTGGCGTTTCTGTTGCGTGTCAGCTGCGTCGCGTTTTCTGTCTTTGCACACCAGAAACGTGTCTGACGCGGCGCTGCTGACACGGATCACCCATGTTCGACATGGGAGAGAGTTGTGGAAGCCCTATACTACTTCATGTTAACCATAAATATAAAGCCTACTGATAAAGACACTGTCAGCAGTATTGACAGCATAGACTACAACAGAATATGTCGTTCTATATTGACAGGTGCAATATTTGAAAATTGATACTTTATTTATTTTTAAATTAGCCTAGCCTATATTTATATCTGAATTTGTCAACCTAGATTTTCAACCATCAAAATGTAATTTATTAATATGTATTCGTGTACAAAATAACATATAAACATCGTTTCCCATTCTATTTTGCCTGGAAACGCTTCCAACACGCTTGCGTGTCGCGTGAAAAATATGGGGTATTAATAAGGGCATCTGACGCACAGAAGCCAATGGCACATGTCACTATTTGGCACATCCGGTGGCACATCCGGTCTCCACTGGCATGTGCCAGTGGATTTAGTGACATGTGTCACTGAAATTATTGGCATGTGCCAGTGGATAGTGACATGTGTCACTGACATTATTGGCATGTGCCAGTGGATAGTGACATGTGTCACTACTGACATCGCGGAACACTGTCGCGGAACAGGTTGCCGTCTTGTGACACCTCGGTAGTGACTGACAGATGAGCTGAGCAGCTATACTGACGTAATTGTGAAACAAACGCCTATATAAGTGATCTTTTTTAAATATATGTCAATTTAACGTTTTAAAGTCAGTATTTTTTTCCTCAAACATGTCAGTGTGACACATCAGTATAGCCTATCTGAGTGGCATATTAGCCACTGAATGTATGTAATGCCAATGTTGTTGATCACGCAAACTGCCCAACCTAGGAAACACAACGAATAAATCAGAAGTACGAATAGCGCATTAACAGTCGCATCCGTTACTGTAACCTTTATTTTTGCATGATGCTGCATGCACGCCAGTAGGTGTCAGTAAGTCCACACTGGGCAGCGCAAAATGACCTAAAACTTGCGACAGTTGAGGAACATCTACGGGTGGTGTATTTGCAATGTGTATTTGTCATTTGTTTGAGTAGCAACTGTACAGTAAGAAGGTAGCAAAAAATAAATTTAAATAAACGAGTAATCAGAGTCTCTAAAACTTGTGACATGTGTCAGTGGATAGTGGCATGTGCCAATAAAATTTGTGAATTGTCGATGGATGCTTCATGTGCCATTGTCGCGGTACATGTCGCCGTATGTTACACTCCCAGACAGCAAATTGGAGGCCCAAAGCGAAGGTAGCCTACGTATGGGGGCCCCCCCATCCCATCTTTATAAGAACGGAAAAAAAAATTTATCTACTGAATGGTAGGAAAAGCTAATCTACGGGGAAGTAAAGGTTGGAGAGGAGAAAAAAAACCTTCCCCAACAGAGAATAAGGTTTCAGATAACACCTCCCAGCAAACATTTGGACGTGTAGGCTAATGACCGTTGAAAAGACGTCCGTCCGACACGTCCCGTCATGGTTGAAAAATAGTTCCAAAATGAAAGTTGAACCGACGTCTTTGACGTCATCTGGCCGTGAATTCCACGTCTCTTCTGGCCGTGAATTCCACGTCTCTTCAGCGCGTCCCTGGACGCAAATGCGTCATTTGTGTGTTTAAATGTGTTGCTGTATAATTTAAGTGTATATAAGCCTGCATTTAAAATAATCACACACATATTGTGTAACATCGTGAAAGGCAATCAAGTCTTGAAGTTTACACATCTTGACAAAGGTTCTAAAAAGGTCCAAAATTGGTCTAGTCAGACCTGACCGTCAATAAAACGTTTTAATCACGTGTAGCCTACATCACAAACAAGAACACATTATTTGTGGACATAAGAAAAAAAGAAGCATGTTCTGATTTAGCACATTTTATTGATCTTGAACAGCCAAAATGTATCTTAATATTTTTTCAATGTTTAACATTTGTTAACCAAACTAAAATACCAATTACAAAATACTGAATTATTATATAAAGGGATAGTTCACCCAAAAATGAAAATTCAATGAAGAAAGGTATACAGGTTTGAAACATGAGGTTGAGTAAATGATGACAATTTTCATTTTTGGGGAAACTATCCTTTTAAAAACACATTGTTTGGCTCAGTTTTTGTATCCACCAGCTGTTCCTGGAGCGTGTTTCAGGTGTTCTGCCATTGCTGCATCAATTTCAGAGTCTGTAGCATTTGGGCTCCACCTCTTCACAGCAT